TCAGCTAACATGCCAAGAGGAGCAGGTGAATGGATTATTATGCTTCCAGCGTGAGCGAGTACTTTATGCACTGTTGCTGGAATTTTATACCAATCATACAAATTAAGATACCGCCGATATGTTTCCTTACAATAGTCATCCATTTGTTTAGGATTGAAAGGGTCTTGGCAATTGATTACTATTAAAATATTACGAAATCTAATAATAAGCTCTTCGTCGATATCCAAAACTTTGGAAAGTAATTCAGGAGTTGAAAATGCTTTTCGACACACATTTTCTGTTGTACTGGCCCCAGCTCCACCTGCCCTGGGTTGATCAACTCGTACTCCGAACGCTTCGTACATTTTTTGAGTAACGAGTTTTTTCCGTTCAAGATATTTGGCCTTTAAATCCTTCGTTATCTTCCACGTTTTAATTTCCATCCTATAGGAAATATGTAATAAACACTCAAAAAATCGCATCCAAGCGTGCAGTGGAGATATGCCGTAATGCAGAGCATCTTCGTTCGAATCGTATCCTGCTTCAAACTTCTGTAAAGTATAAAAAAAAACATTGTTGGCCCTTAAAATTTGAAAAAAAAAATATTGCCTCTATATCACTCATTCCATTCGGAGTAGCTCCACAAATTGGACAGTTGGACATGGAAGAAGTATCAGTTACATAATTAAGAACTTTGCCGTCGAAAATAAAATCAACCAAAACATATTCACCATTCGATAATTGGATTTTTACTGGAACAAGCTGACTTATTTGATTTTCAATATATCTCTTGGTGTTAAGCACCATCTCTTTTGACTCTTTGATAAATTCCAGCATAATTGGCCTACAGAACCGAATGCTTTGGGGTGTTAAATTATGCCACAAAATGTTTTTCTTGTTGTTCTTATAATAAAGTTGTATAGGAGTAATTGTCACTGAAAAGACGTCACTGTCATCTTTTTTGATTTGGCGTTGATAGCGCTTGGTTGTAGTGTGAATAGCCTGTTGAGCCATCCATACCCCAGCTGCTTAAAAGCACTAGCTCTGTGTCATCGTTGATATTCATTTGTTGGACGATTTCCGCATCGATGATTTGAATGATTCTTTCTGTTGTATGATTCATGAGTGCCTGTAATTTGACCTGAAAAGAAAGAAACATTTAAAGTTGGTGTACTGGAAAAATATGTGGATATTTATGTCTACCTGAATTTTTGATGATGACTCTTCGATTGACTCGGCTGAAGGTGAGCATACTTTTTTCATACTCTTAATTACATTGTAGCTCGGAAATCTTGATGGGTTCTTTTTCACTGTTTGCTCATATGCATATTTTGAAAAATCGCAGTCTAAAAAATATTCGAACGCCTCTTCAGGTGACATCATTCCATGCGAATCTTTGAGAGTCGTAAACATTTTAAATGCACTTTCTCGATTTTTGAGAACATGGCCAATCAAATTCACCATATTTGAATCCACATGTCTATACGCAATTTGTCTTGTGAGTAAAAGAGCCCTTTCTATAGTGCCAACATTACCGCCAAATATTTCATCGGTTTTCCTTCGCTTACTTCTATCACTAAGCTCATCAAACTGTTTTTGTGGACGTCCGCGTCCATCATGGCCAGTTGACGTTGAAGGTGTTTCTGCTGTACTCTGCAAGTTCCAAATGACTATCGAGCCAATCCTTATTGTATTTCTCAAAGCGCTCTTGTAGGCGGTGAGCCTTTTGCCACGCATTGTAAAAATGTTGTGCTACGTACTTCAACTTTTTAAGAAGTTGTTCTTCTTTGGCAAGATCAATATTATATTTTTTCTTGATATATTCAAATGCTTTTGTTGCATTGACTACTTGAGATTCTTTTGGATCAAAAAGTAACACGATGCTCCTATGATCCATATTATCACAAACAATTGTTTTCAGATTTTCGATTAAACTACTGCACAATATTGTTGTTAGCGTTAAAGCCGAAAACAAACTCATGATTTGAAAATATTGTCCTCGTCTTTTAAATGCAAGTAGGTAACATCAATAATAGTTTTACCTAAGTTTAGTGGGTAGAAATTGTAAAATGGCACTCGAGCAGGTAATTTCCTTTTGGTAGTGGTCTTTCTTTTTCCGTTGGTTATTATGTATTGAAAATATCAAAAGGTTATCGTGAAAACATTGAAAACTTTTTAGTCCAGTTGGGTAGATACGGTTTCTATATGTAATGATAATTTTCGGTCTGTTTTTACCCATTTTTAACAACAATAATAATTAAGTGTGTAACATTTTTAAGACCAAATTTGACATTTAACAGTTCCACTTTTCAACCAGTGTTTAATTTGTACGATTTTTTGATTAATGCTCGTATAATCGATATATGTAATTAACAAAAAAAAAACATTTAAAAAATCATTTTTACGACTTTGTGCCAAAATGACGCTTATACGCAGCTATACGCAGCTGGATCCTTGTTCCGCAGATAGTATAGACCCTAAACTAAAAAGTAGTGGTGGTCTCTTGAGACTGCTCGGCCCTGCTCGTTAGATATAGTCCAACTTAGGCAAAAAACATTTTTTTTTCAATGATTGCTTATTTTTAACCAATTTTAATTAACCGTGTAATCTTATCAACGTACCCATTTTAAAGTTTAGACAATCAACTTTCCAACGGTGTATTAAATTCAATGTTTAGACCGTTATTCGCTGAGAAAATTGCATTTGTTTCAAATGCATTTTTTCTACAATTTTCAAAATTTTCCTAAGTCTGATGTCTGTGGCGCAATGAGTTTTCATCACAGAGGGCTGAAATTTTGGGCATCTAGGTTTGAACTATCTGGCTATCAAATGGTTTACAAGATACGTCATTCAAAGCAAGTCAATTTTTCGATTTTTGGCCACCACTTTCCCCATAGTGCATCCGTAGACCACCTAGAGTCTATGACTAGCTGATATAGCAAAAATCAGCATTTTGATGTTGTTATAGAAGCAAATCAAGGAACACTATAATCAAATAGGTACAAGAAGTATTTATCCGTAGATCCGGTGAGCACTCAGTGTCTATGTCTATAACCGGCTCAAAAATCAGCATTTTTTTCCTTTCAGTTTTAGAGACCAATAAAGGCATACTACAATCATAGATACATATTATTTAATGTTACGGATGTTCCGGATCTTCCAGAGGATCACGCAGTTGTCTATGACCAGCTGATATATCAAAAAACAGAATTTGTTTACCTCTTAGTTATAGAGGGAAATCAAGGCATACTATAATCTAATATTAGAAGAATTTAAACTTACGGATGCTCCAGATCTTTTAGGGAATCATCCGGTGACCACTCAAAGGCTATTACCAGCTGATGAATGAAAAATCAGTAGTTGGTACATTGCATATTGATATAGAGACGAATCATGGCATACTACGCTCAAATACAAGATAAATTTAATTCTACGGATGATCCGGATCTTCCAGGGAACCATATGGTGACCACTCAGCGTCTATGATCAACTCAAAAATCACCAATTTGATACCTTTTAGTTATAGGGCATATCGAGGCATACTGCAAAATAATTCGCATTCGGGAGATTAAATATCTTGACGAGATTATTGATGATAATCTTATGTTCAACTCTCACATTACATTGATGTCATCAAGAAAATTGCCAAGAAGTTTGGAATTCTATGTCGATTGAAAAACAATTTAACTATTGCCAGTAAAACAGCTATACAAATCTGTCAACTCTCCATAGCTAGACTTCCAATTTATTTCTGGCCAATGAAACACAAATATCGAGATTACCGTGCTTGTAGCATAAAATAATGCATTTGATTTTGCGATGTAATAGATACTTTTCCTCAACTTTGTGCTGAATGCTTTACAATGATTTGGATGAAGCAAATAATAGTTAGACTATGGTGTTCATTTGCAACCTCGACATTTATGTGATCGAATAAAAGAGGAAGTGATTTTCATAGATATAAGAACAACACATTTCTTGACTTGTGCTTCACATAACTCACTGTATTTTAAAAGAATAAAAACAAACTGTTCGCTACGAGGTGATTATGGATTTTATAATGTTGATTTAAAAGAAGCAGTTTAAAAAAAATAATTATTTGAGTCTTCAAGCCTTTGAGCCTCATACGCGTATTACGGATACAGAGGATTTAGATAGCATCATAATATTACGGGGTTGCAGTGTAATAGTAACTCTGTAACTCTTCACAGAAAAAAAGTTGTTGAATATTACATCCAAACAGCTGCAACCAGGTCAATCCACCGGTTGTGTAATGTAACGTTGTACGATGTACATCGATTTTGCGAACAAAATTACATCCATTGATGTAATATTGTATCTGCTTTTTGCTATTACATCATTATTTCATACATCAGCTTGAATTACATTGATCGATATTACATTTTTTTGCTGTGTTGATCGCATTACAAGCGGTGACAAAAAGGCAAACTAAGAAATGGACAGCTAAGCTTGTTGACATTTATATCGCTGCGAAGCAACTGTAAACTGGGAAACTATGTAACCAGTTTGTTTGTGTTTACTAATCTGGTTAAGATTTCATACTTAATTATCTTAAAGATAAATCGTCCTGCTCAAACCTTTGTAGGGGTGAGAAGTGGGACAATCTTCATCATCATCATCATCATCATCATCATCATCATCATCATCATCATCATCATCATCATCATCATCATCATCATCATCATCAACATCATCATCATCATCATCATCATCATCATCATCATCATCATCATCATCATCATCATCATCATCATCATCATCATCACAATCATCATCATAATCATCATTATCATCATCATCATCATCATCATCATCATCATCATCATCATCATCATCATCATCCTAATGATCATCATCATCAGCACCAAACTGAGCAGTTATATCGTACATCTTGATGACACTTTTCTTGTCGATATTATATTAAAACAAGTTATAGCTGTTATAACGGCATTAGAACATTGTAACTATATAGATGTGAAAATTATATAATTTCTCAATAGGTTGGCACTGGTACATTACAGGATACCGGTGTCCTTGGATACAGAGAGGAGGGAACGATGGACTTACGAAGCTCTACTGAAGAACTGCAATTTATGGAACCTGAGAAGGGAAAAACCGAAAAAGAGAAACCCCAAGCACAGGTATGTTACGACAGGACAAACATCTTGATTTCAGATTATATACAAATGATTTTTTTTTTTTCTGTTTGGCAGCCATACTCACCTGTTATGTTTAAATTAGAAGAACAACAAACTATTTCACTTTATCATCAGCGTAAAGATTCTGCAAGTTCCGAGGTCGCTGCATTTTTGTGTATATCTGGCCGTACCAGTCGTATCTCTAGCGTCGGAAGTCAAGGATCAGCGACTAGCAAGCTCTCTGCCGTATCCAATGCTTCTGGAATTTCTCGTTCACCTTCTCCTCACCGTATGCTGTTGGAAACATCGTTCTGTGGTCCAAAGCCTTTGCATGGTATAACTGACGGAAGTATTCCGAGTAGCATTGAACCATCGACTGCCAAAGTACTTGAACAAGTTATCCTATCTAGAAAGAAGGACCCAACGGAAGCTGTGCTGGCAGAGGGTGTCAGTGTGTATAGAACATTTGCCATCAATAGTGCGGCAAAGACCAATAAGTCAATAGAAACCGACATAACTAGGCGAAAATCAGACAGCAATGCTAATATTACTCGCAAGGAGGACATTATTCAACCTTCACAAACAAGTAGAAGTATTTCAAACAAACGTTATATTCCTCCAACAGATTTAGACAAACCGATAGTAGGTGTGATGCCCAGCGGAACTGAATATATAAGAATAAAACTCAAGCCAGACCACTGCTATAGCGATAACGGAATAGCCGATAACGAGCGAATATTGCAGGACGATCATAAGAAACCCCACTCGTTGAATCTTAATAGCTCACGGGAAAAAAAAGCTGGATGCAACAATAGTCCGAAACCCGCACACCATTTCAAATTATCGCGGGAGAATGGCAGCCGATCACCATCTCCTGCAAATACTACATTCTCAAGAAAAAGTTCCTTTTGTTCTATATTCAAGCTGAAAGATTCAGCCACTCCGGATTCACCTGGTGGTACTCATGTACGAAAAGAGAGTGGTTCAATTTCACAAGAGTTTAGAGAACGATCGTGTAGTAAAAGTAGAGAAAGGGACCTTGTATCATTGAATACTACACCAAGCAAACAGAAGTCAGTGTTGGCTATATTTAAACCGAAGAAAAATGATGCAAAATCAAAATCTCCATCACCCATTGATGCTAATCCACAAGGTACTCTGTCTAACGTGGAAAATGTGGAATTTAGGTTTAAAAACGAGTCTCCTTCTGCCACGAATTCCCATCAACACTTGAGGTATTATGATACACCGTTGGACGGCAAGAGCATTCATATTCCTTTACACACTCCACCAGAAGAAAAGCAATTGAAACCTTTGGTACCTACTAACCCAGTACATCCTTTTAAGCAGAAATCGGAAATAATTCCCGATAAATTGTCTCCTTCTGTACAATCTGTGAACCTAAGCAATAATTGTATCGTTACTATCCATAATAGGCCCAAGCCCATGCCACCTTTAAAGTGCTATCGAATAGAAAATCCCGACGGTACGATAACAATTCCCTTGAAATCACCAACCGAAGAGACGGAACGTGATAGTTTATGGAGCATGGAAGTGCAACGTAACAGTTCTCAAGATAGCCAAGAAACAGTCATTTCGGTAGCTGCACATCACCTTAGCAATACCCTATCTGTAAGCCGTGCAGCAAATGTCTTGCCTTTAAACAGTCAATCGAATCTGCACGATGTTTTCTCTAGTCATAAGTCCATCGAAAACAAAATCGATGTTCTGAAAACAGTACCAGCAGTGAATGATGATAGTGGGGTAATTAAACCAGACCTGACTATCCTTAGTATGTCCGCAAAAGAGAGAAAACAACTTTTGTTTTCGATGAAAATGGGCTCCGGTAGCCAGGAACAAACCTTTTCAACTCAGTTTAGCATTTCCAAGACAGAAAGTCAAAGTAGTCAGTTGTCGGAAACTGTTCAAGCTGAGTCATTTAACGGAATCACATCCAGAAAAAAAGATATCTCGGCATCTGAAACTCCACCTGCTGTATATCGCAATAAACAAATAGATAGCGTAAAAAAACGAAGCTCGAAAGAAAGATTTAGTCGGTCCGACAGTACATCAGGCGATTCTATAGATTTCCATCGTCACTCACGTTACATTGAAAACCCAGATGAAATTCTTGATATGCTACATAAATGCGAAATGAAAAAGCACAAAACCGAATTAAAGGCCACGGTGAGTGAAGAATCTTCTATTTCTCAAGACACTAGCAGAGACGAGAGCACAATGAAGATGTCGTCAAATAGCGGAAATATTCTCAATGTAACAGATAGAAAGTCAACAGCTTCCAACGACGAGCAAGGTGTTTCTTCAGAAAGTGAAAAAGATTCCGAAGTAGATACAATCAAACACTTGCACCAGAATATGTTAACTATTGAAGATCACGAAAGTGCAGGGTTAGTCTTGCAAGAATCGTTCGATGATGAACTACCGTATATTCCTACAACGCTGCCAGAGGAACGGGCCGTAGGTGTTAAACTAGTACCTATGAAGGAACGTGCACAGATTGAAATGAAAACATACCCGCTAGAAAGGCCTAGGTCTACAACACCAATTCACCTTGCTGCATTCGAGAATTACTGCGGTGTTACCCACACCACTGATGAATCTGATGGAAAGTTAATACGTGGTGAGAAACTTAGAATAAGCCTACCCAAAAAACATGACATTGAAAAAGTACCAAAATTGCGATCACCTCGGAAGGTATCAATTCCGTCTGGCAAGAATTGGTTTGAGTTTGTTGAGCAGGAGATAAACAGCACTACTCAGGTTCAAACATTCAGCAATGAAGAAGATACTACATTTGCCAGCCAATCGTCTACCGTGCAAGAGGAACCACCTCCGTTACCACCACGCAAGGGGTCAACACAGCAGTGGATTGACTTTGACAGTATTCCTGAGAAACGAAAACTTCCTCAGCGTATGACTACTATCTCTCAAGCAGAAACATCCGACGACAAGGTTCAATTGACCGGAGTAGTTTACAACTATGTTCAACCTGAGGAATGTCAATGTGAGTGCCACGAGAATGAACGCGAGGGTGGAAAACAGCAGCCATTGATGCAAACTCATGAAATCGAAGATGAGCAGCCATTACTGCAGCAGGATTTGTTGGAAGATGTCAACAGCAGGTAAAAAAGGGTCAAATTATCAAACATCAGAGCTATAATACTATGTGCTGCAAAGTTATAACATGTTAAAATAAGTGTTTCACGAAACAAAATAACATTAAGATTGTCTTATAACATGTTATAACTCAATAATAATCTTTCATGGAGCAGTTTCTTACCAAATAAAAAATCGATAATACACGACCTTCTCCAATTTGCATGAAACTTTGCATTATTGTTTGTTTTTATGAGCCAGAGTTAGTGCTATTCACCCAAAAAATCAACGTGTGAGACAAATTTGGAGGAAACTATAAAAACTTTAGCTGTTTTCTCGAATTTTGTTTTCCAGGTAAGGAAAATGGCTCTAATGTTGGCCTATGGGTCTAAGATTGGGCCCATTGCTAAAAAACTGATATTTATCAATTTTATCTAGATTAACGCGTCATTGGGACGGTACTAATGGATATTTTTGGTCGCTATTGAAAGTTTAGTCGATTGCTCCCTCCCCATGGACATGGAGGTTGACGGTACTAAAGCAAAAGGGTTATGTTTAATTTCTTTATATTTGCAACGATGATGATTTCCTATAGTGACACATATCACCTTCTTAATGCTTCAGTATGCCTCAAACGATTAATTCTTGGTTGTTAATAGAACTTCCTTGATGAAATCGGCTGCTTCATGCAGACTGAGCAATTCTGATTATAGTATCAGATTTGTTCTGTATACAGAGGAACTGGGAATGCTTATTAGAAAGTTCTCACCAATAAAGTAATGATCTTCTAGTAAATTTTGCATATAATTTATTAATATTTTATTTTATTTAAGCATATTATTTTTGTCACAGTCAATTAGCATTAGCATACGATACAAGAGATTTAATATTACTTGCTCATTTTGCGTAAAATAATCAATATTTATTTTACTTGTAATTACCTTCGCAAGTTTTTGTCAAAAAAATTATTTTTTGATCTGAAAATTTTCCCAGTTTGGTTGGAAGTTTAGAAGCTAGCGCCTGTCCACAGGTCTAATAGAAAGATAGGCAGAAAAAGTGTATCATGAAGAATGGTTGCATGTAGGGTTGCTTCCACTCACTTGCTATAGATGAGTGATTTTTGGAGTTTGAGTTCGTTAGATGTTGTAATGGAGATTTGTGTGGTTGGATGCGGGAGGAGATTGGAGGGCGGGTGTTTGACATAGAGCCTGTCAATTTCAGTCAGCGGTTTTATGATTCGTGAGCACTCGCGATTCGTAGAATCGTTGATTGTGACTGCAAGTGGATCTGGTGGGTTTTGTGTGTCGGACGCTTGCTTTTTGGCCTCTTCTTGTGTCTAACATGTGCATAGTAATATATTTGTAGGAATATTTTTTTGAGATTTTAGTGGTCACGTTTTGTTTGTACTTTATATTTTATTTCTTTCATGTTATTATCGTAAATAATAGTTATTCAATAATAGATCGTTCATCCATATATTTGAACTTTGACGCAAAGCGCTGTGGATTATGAGATGCTCGATGACCCTGGAGGGTTCGATTTTGCTTACTGAGCAGAAAATCATGGATTTAACCCCAAGCTGTTCCACATCACAGTAAATCGCCACCATCATTTGTATATTTGATATTGAACATTAACCTCGGAGACTATTTGCATATCAAGCGAAAACGTAGTCGTGTTTTGTCGCGAAGTGTTATGGTTATGAGATGCTCGATGACCCTGGAGGGATCGTTTTTGCTTGCTGAGCAGAAAATCATGGGTTTAATCCCAAGCTGTTCGTCATGAATCTTAAAATTTATGATCACTAAACAAAATGAATATGTTCTTTCGATAGTTGGCTATCGAGAGATTAAATAAACAACGAATAAACAATACATACTTTTGGTTGCATCGCCAACTTGAGGTGAATCCTAACCGAATACCCTACCAACCCTCCAACTCCGTAGCACCTATGAGGGTGTCGCTAAGTCGGTGGCCCTCGTTAAGGGGGGGAAATACAAGTAACACGTCAAAAACCCGACGATTTTATCAATTGGACCTTATTCAGAAAAGATTTTTGTTTTATGTGAACCTCTAAAACCAAAAAAAAGACGATTTAAAAATTTAGAAAAAAATATCTGGAAAAAAGTTGATTTTTCACTGTTTTTTTCACTTTAGGCAGACCTGAAAATTGTGTATTATTATTTTTCATGATATCAGTGGTTCACATAGAGTAAAAATCTATTTCCTTTAAGATGCGCCAGGTTTCAAGTCATTTGGATGAGAACTTTTTGAGTTATCTTTTCGCCAATTTGGAAAACACCGTTTCTAGAAAAACGCGTTTAAAGTTTTGGGTTGTGTAAAAACATGATTTCTGGAACTTACGGTTAATCGGCGATACCGGGGCCATAGATCACTCCTTCCTTGTTCTCGTAGTATTTCTTATTTTTTTAAAGTAAAATATAAAAAATCGATAAAAAAAATTTTTACTTGTATTTAGGGGGGTAAGTACTACATCAACATTTCCTTCCCTATTCCTAGTTATGGTAAAGATGGGCGTGTCCGGGCATAGCGACAGTCATGCTTCTGTTACTCTTGTTTAGATTGGAACCAATGTTTACTCCCCAGCATTATTCCAGAAAGTAGTCTAACTGAGAATTTCAGAAGAGACGTGAGTGTCGCTAGTATCCAATCTACGAAGTATATCATAATAACAACAACGCTAACGCTATTGAAAGTTTACTCGATTGCTGAATTTATGTATGGGCTCAAATTAGGGGCATTTGGCCGACATTACATCCATTTCCCCTATCTTTCTTAAAGTAAAGTAAAATCGGTATTCATACTTGCCGCTTTATGGACAAGGCTTGTCGTACACAGCCAAACGAACTATCAAAAACTGCAGCCAAACGACATCCGATTGACTGTAGCAGAGATAAAGGAAAAGAGCTTAAGCATTTTATGTTTCATGTTTCACGCATATCAATAATGCTCCACCAAGCTTGAAGCTCATTTTTATGCGAACGCCTACTGCACTGGCCCTTTGAAGATTACATGGGAATTACTATGGGAAAAGTGAACTTCTTGTTCCCATCTTTCTAGCCCTTCGCTGCAATGATCTACGGAAAATTTTGCTATCTGTACTAGTGTGAATTTTTCAGCTACAACATGGCATCTCTGGGATAAAAATTTTTGGAAATAAAAAGTTTGGCTTAAGCCGTTTGCTTTAAGGAACAGAACAGAACGTTACATAATAAACAACTTCAGAACTTTCCAACCCAAAAATTCCTAAACCTACCGAACCTAAGATTAAACCCAATAAATTTTAATTCTAACTTATGAGTATTTCCAATAAAAATATTAAAATTCAAAATCCAATTAAGTTTAGCACCGACAAACCGATTTGAAACATAAATTTAACTCTTGATCGAGAATCCATAACGGCCAATTCAAATGTGCAGGGATCCCATCTGTCAAAACCATAGAAATGTTTTATATAGATAAAAATAATTTGTCCGAAATAGATTAGACACGAACCAACTCATAAATTTTGTACGCGTTTTCGTGGCTAGGATAAACATTTTCCGCGAACACAGCGGCAGATCTCAGTTTTGTGCTTTGAGCAGAAATACCTTTGTAATTTGTATGATCATTCATGTCGGTCGGTGGTAAGTTTTCAAACAAGTGGTAAGTTTGGTAACATTTCTATGGTTTTGACAGATGGATCGCTGCACATTTGAATCAACCGTTATGGATTCTGGATCAAGAGTTAAGTTTAAGTTTCATGTCGGTTTTTCAGTGAACTTACTTCGAATTTAGTTAATTTGAATCACTATTCCAATTTTGAATTATCTTTTTCTTAAAATTTTCACAGCGAAAATACTCTTGTGAACTGTATCACGTACTCCACCAGAAAGAACGAGTTAACGCGAGGCATCGAGGGTTCGATCTTAAAAACTACGACGCAATAACTACCCAATGGTCTGCAGCGGGAATTTATCCTTTCATTTCATTGGTCAGTTCTGGAGAGCGAGATTTTTTAAAGGTTTTTCATGCCAGCAGTATACGGAACTGGCTATTTTTAAGTATTTATTTTTTGGAGGTCAGTGGAAAACTACGCAGTAACTGCAGGACAATTGGTCTGGTTGATTCGCCTTGAAGTATGCTTCATTATTTGAGATATGTTTTTAGTAAAAATTTGTACCATCCCGTTCTACATACATGGAAATATATGATCTGGAAATCTCCGAGCCTTGGATCATAAGTCGAGTTTTCAGTGATTGACCCTTGAATAAAATTAGCATAAGATTGGCTGCATTACGATTTTGGAGGCACATATGATGTAGTGAAGTAAAGTATAGCGAAATAGCGTAGCTCTCTTTATGCGACACTAGAGTGAAATTTACTTAATTGACCTCAACACATCAGAAGGCCAAAGGCTGATTAAGAATCTGCAGTTTAAAGACTGTACTTGAACACATCAGCGAGTTTTGTTATTTACGTATTAAACGTATCTTATGCATCGTGGCCCTCGATAGCCATGAGCGTGAGGCGATCAGTCACAAAGTACATGGCTGGGTGGCAGCGGGTTCGATTGCTGGATCGTTCGTTGACAATTTTCATGACTTCACTGAGCATACCATTAATCTACATATTCATACGATTGTAAGCTTATAATGCGCTCAATTAACAGAACGCTAAGTCCAGAATAGCCATAGTTGCTACAGGAACGTATTTAATAAAGAGGAAGAAGAAGATGTAAAAAGCATGTGGTTGCGGCATATTACTGTTTCTGGTGAAATATTCGTCACTATCGGTGAGAGGGGTCGCTGAGTAACATTTAATTAAAGCAATTAACAAATTTCCTGTATCCTATCTTCTTACTACGTCGAATCAAATACGAGGAGATTTTTTTTTCATTTTGTGCTATCTAACTCATGTTCATTACGCATAAGTATATTTCTGATCTCCTATTAAGGAGTTTTTTGTCGTTTACGGTTGATGCGCATGTGAACATTCGTTCAATCAAATGAGCATTCATTGACTT